TTAAAATTTAGCTCTTCCTTCTCTGGGGATTGGACAGAATCTTAGCTTAAATTGACCTATGTACCAAGGGGAATTTATAATGACTGAGGTACTTCATGGAATTCAAGAACAGGAATGATCCTGGGCCTCACGGTCAACTGAGCCAAGGGATCAAATACTGTTAGAGCCTTCTCTCACTACAGATGTTCCCTCTAGGAAAATATGACCACTGACATGAAACAATCATTTTATATGATATGCACTGAGACATTTGTGGTGCAAGACTAGGCCCACTTACTGGGGATAGCACCACTTTCAGGGAAAATGGTCTTTCCTCATTCCATCCATGTTTTCATAGGGGCTTTTAATTAACCCTGATCACCTGACCACAGTCAACTAGTCCAGAAATGAGCACTTGACTGTGTTGAGGAATCCTATTCCTGTAAGTTTTGTTCTCAGGATCAGAGCCCTATTTTTGAATAGGCATGCTTCGGGTGGGGTGCAGAAATCTGTTTTAACAGCCAATCAGCTGATCCTAAAGATTGAGATGATCTCAATTCTTTATTTGGTTGTGCCTATTATTTCTTAAAAGGTATTTTGTTTTAAAACAGGAACTGTATTCAACCAATACTGTCAATTCAGTCTGAGTAGACTGTTGGGGGGGCGTGGCAGTTCAAGTGTCAATAACAGATACTATATGAAGAACTATGATAATACTGGTTTGGTGAAGTTTTGGAATTAGTATTTGTATACTCTTTCTGGAACTCCTCCCCCAGCAGAATTGATCTAAATGATGGCAGTCACCTTGGAGTTAAGAAAAAGTTACGGTGTCAACCATGAATATGATCCCAATTTTATAATTAGAAAAAAACAAATGACAATATCCTCAAAGTGGTTGATTACCTAGGGAATTAAGTGCTTTGTCTTCTTTTATAATTTAACTGTATTTCTCTAGTTTTATATAATAAGCATAATTTTTCATAAGAAAAACCAACTAACGTTATAAAGATACAAACAATATATATGATAGATTTTTTAAGTAACATCTAGGAATATATGCACTCAGGAATGGAGAAATGTGGGTCAAGCTTTCAGTATCAGTTAATGTACACCTCCATTCAAAAGCAAACTCATGTTAAAATATTTTCCCATCCTCAACGGAAGACTTTCTACCCTTCCATTTAGCATTTTATAAGAATGTTAGGTTTAGGGATGCCTGGGTGGCTCAGATGGTTAAGCGTCTGCCTTCGGCTCGGGTCATGATCCCAGGGTCCTGGGATCGAGTCCCGCATCGGGCTCCCTGCTCAGTGGAGAGCCTGCTTCTCCCTCTGCCTCCTGCTTTCCCTGCTTGTGAGCTCTCTCTCTGACAAATAAAATCTTAAAAAAAAAAAAAAAAAAGTTAGGTTTAGCACTTAAATATTTATTTCTGGATGGTGGGATTGCAGGATCCCAAGGTGAAATGTGGGGTCATTTATATTAATATTCTCGGTTTTTGAAGCAATGAGTCTCTATTAGTTTCAAAATCAAATAAAGTTTTTTTTTTAAAAGAGAAAACATTAAGTTTAGCCAGTTTAGGTAAAGAATTGGTTAGAAACTGGCATGCAGTTAACATAGTTTTAAACTGACTTGTATTAAGTAAGGTCCATGAGCGAATCTGTTCCATTTTCAGAGTAGTAACCAGAGGACCACTTAGTCCACTCAGACTTATATTTAGGATCATTAAAAATATTATTAGGGGTTGCTAACTTTGGCTTCATGCTCATGTGAACATCCTGTTCACTACCTGCCTCAAAGTTAGTGAGGTTTACTATTATTTACTCTGCTTTTGTAACTCAAAGCTAAACTTTGATACAGCAAATATCTCACAAGAACCTCCATGTGGGTTTTCCATTGTATTGGGTATATAAGAAATTTAAGAAAAATTCTCATTCATTGATTTACAAGTACATTGACATTTAATTTTAAATGGTTCTTAGAAGTTTTTGGGTTGGCTTGAGGGGAAAATTCAAATACCATTTCTCTATGCTGTATTAATGAGACTAACTGTAACAAAGGACAGTAAAAACTTCCAAAAGGAGGGAACTAATTAATCAGTGTATAATTCTGGATTTTCTTCCATTTATCCATAAGAGAAAAATGCACGATTAACTAAATAAATGTATTTGGTTTGAAAATGTATTAATTTTCCCTTTTGGAAACTCATATATAATGTCTTTTTGCTTGTTTTACACATGCTGGCTTTTTTTTTTTTAATGATGGCTTTTTAAAACTAGGTATCAATTCACAGCAGGTGACAAAGTTCCAAAAACATATCAGTTTTGAGTAAACTATAAATATACTCCAAATAATTCAAATATGAAACAACTAGGACAAGGAGAATATAACATAATATATTCCAACTCATGAAGATCAAGTTTGAAAGGGCAATATGACTTGGGTCTGTGTGTTAAAAAAAAAAAAAAAAATCAACTGAGAAATGTATTAAAACCAATTGTAGGCAACTTGGGGTAGGGAATCTTACATATCCAGAAATTCATAAAACACTTGAAAAAACATATAAATTTAATAATAAACATTATGGTCAGGCTGTTTTATTAAGGAGGCAACCACACATACAAGTTCAGCTATAGAAATGTCTGCAAATCAAACTTCATGTGATCTAAAAGGACCATGCGTAATGTCAAAAATGGATGTCTGTACATTCAATAAAAATTTAAACATACATAGTCTAGATCATTCTGGAGTTATACAAATGTCTGGGGACACATGTATCTAATTTCCTTTCAAAAAAACTCTTATAAAAGTGATGTACTGAGATAATTTTAAAAAGTATCTGACAATTATGAATGGTCCCCAGTTTTACAAAATGTGATTTCCAGGGCATGAAAACTGAAAAAAGTCAACTCTTCAGAGAGTGTTTTATATTATACAAACAAGTTCTGTAGAAAAATGATCCAGCAAATGCTTGAGTTAAGAATATTTATATTTTTTCCAATTTTTTACACTTTTATTAACACACTTACCAAAAAATAACATTCAAACACTGAGAAAATTAAATAACTTTGGAAGCAGAGCTCATAGCTTTCTGCTTACATATAAGTGACAATTCTGGGCTGTTGGCACAGAAAAATAATCAACATTCATAAAACCCTTACTACTATATATCAAACATAAGTTAAAATCATAGGCACTAGTTTATCAAATCCACATTTCTTCTGTAAGACTAACCACAGTGAATCCTTAGATATTCCCAAACAGAAAAATTGGCAATAGACAAAGGCCTTCTAGTAAAAAGGCAATTTTTCTCTTTAGGAACCTAAAAGCCTATAGTCTGTGGTTGTACAACAGCAGGTAAAATAATGCTTTACCCAACTCAGATCCAAATACGTTTCTAACAAGTGATGAAGTATTTATACTTCAAAAAAAATAGACATTTTTTTTTTCTGATGCAGCCATTTAAAAACAAAGTTAAATAACCTGAATACTCCTTTTGAAACAGATAATCTAACTTAATGTAATGGGTGTTTCAAACAGAGTTAAATTTCCTTGTAATTATTAGATTGCAGCATATTCTTCTTTTGCAATGTTGCACTGAAACTGAGACCTATTTTGTTTTGTGTACATATGGTTTTAAAAAGAGACAGTGGCTAGTTCTTTCTTTTCCTTAGATTTTTACATGAGTTACCCCCCACCCAAAGCAGATGCTTTATCTTCCTCTGAAAAGCAACATTTTTTAGTTCATCATCATGTGGAATTCTGGCGCCGCCCTTCCCTGACCCACACCCATCACCCTCAAATTCAAGGATACAATTTCTCCCTTGCATTATACACCAAAATACATTAGCACTGGCAGTTTAAATCTCCAGCTGCATGTGCTAAAGAATGACTCCCTATTGGTCAAGCTAATAAAAAATACCATGGTGTCATGGCAGAATGGGGGCCTTGGTTTTAAGCATTTTATCATTCTCTCAACCTATCAACCTCAATGCTATCCTGAATATCAAGTCTCTCATTTGTCTCTCAATTTGCCAACTTACAGATGTCTTTGACTAAGAGGAAATGAATTTATGTTCAAGTCTCTAAAATCCTTTAGGTAACCTGATTGCCAATATTTCAGAGCCATTCAAATTAAGTATTTTAAAACAGACCTCACCATGAAAAATGAGAAGCCCACTGAAGGAAGTTTTAGTTTGGTAATTGTCTAATAAAACCTAAATAAGTGATTTTCAGGATATACATAAGGGCCACTAGAGAGCAAGTATGTAACAGATTAGAGTCTTACATAGTGGGTTTCATTTGTTACCAAAAATGTAAAAATTAATGTAAGGCAGAATCCAAGTCAAAAGGGGCAGTATTTTCAAAGGAGGTTTTATACAGTTACCTAGTTTAAAGTGGATCAACTTAAGTAGGATTCAGCAGGCTCTATCTTCCTACCACATAATAGACTGTTGTGTCAATTAATAGTTAACAATACAACTGTCATTACCAGAGATTTTGTAAGTTAAGTGCATAGATTTTTCCCCCCCTCTCTCATGGTATGGTATGGTTCCAGGTTGTAAGCACAGAGGCGGTGTTAGTTATATCAAGAATAAAGACACATACTACTTGCTCTTTCCTATCATGGAAACCTGCTAATGAAAAGACGATCTCTTAGTTCTGTAACAGCTATAATAGCATGTGAAGAAGTTGGCTTCAATAGCAAAGGCTATCTTTCCTGAGCCAGGAACTATAAAGTTTAGAAAGATTGTACAACTGATATTAAGCCCTTTTGGCAATCAAAACAAACACGCAGAAGTCCGATATGTCAATGCAATACGGTGGATGCACGGTGTAACGTTATCTGGTGGTGGTGATACGTGAGCTACATCCAAAACTTAAGATTAAACAAAATGACAATTTTTCTGATGAATCTGCAAACATAATTTATAGAATTCTCACAAAATTTAGGTATCATGTTTGAAATCTCTAGCCTAGATTTCTTCCCACCCCCAACCTCCCTTCCATCTCAATTTAGTTTCTTGGAGTACTAGTGAAACACTAGTGAAACATTTTAGATAATTAGTCAGAATATTAGTTCTCATTAACACAAATATTTATTGATGCTATTTATACAGTAAATTAGGTTGAATGTGAAGTTTTGGATAGCTTGAATTCACCATTTTCTTGTGCACAAAGGTATTCTCTCATTTACAAATGGGCATTTCTCTTTGGCATCCGTTAGTTTTTTGCCCAGGTATTGGCCTCTGTCAAATATTAAAAAATCAACTTAGTTTCTATTAAACAAAACTAAATGTGATTCCATGGAGAGTGATTGTATGATTACCAAACACATCTGATGTTAAATGTCATTAAAGTGCTGCTTGATCATCTCTGTCAGTTTGTGCTAATTAAGACAGAGAGGGCTGGGATTTATAAACCCCAAGAGTCTCATCTGAACAGTCTGCATATAAAAGTTGTCTTTTAGCCTGGTGAAGGGGTATCCATGAAGCTGTGGACCTCTGCATTCTCATCTTTGCTGGTCAATAACAGCCATCTTTCCAACTGTCATCTTTCATGCTACCATAGGTTTTAGGAGCTGGCAAGGATCTGAAATAAAGCAATTTTATAAAGTGATTTGTAAGGCTTTATGAAGTATTACCATACTATCTCCCACATATATTAATTACTTTGCAGGTGGCATCCCGATCCAATGAAAGCTGTTCCATGGACTACTGAGATCAAAGCTCTAAATAGCCTATTAGCACAATTGTCCCACACTTAGCATTTCTAACTTTCCAGGTGACTTCACTAACATCTTTTTGTTAACACAGCTACTACAGTAAAAGAAAGGAAAAGACTGTCTCGTCTCTTCCAACAGCATGGATCACCAACATTTTAATTAATAATTAACTAATTAATTTGAGGGGGGCAGAGTGATGAATGTGACAGTAGAGACTTAGTGTCACCATCACTTTGAGAGGCAAAATGACATAGTGCTTAAATGGACTTTTAAGTCAGACATACTTAGAACTGAAAGCCTTTAGTTGTGTAGTCTTACGCAAAGTACGTAACCTCATTAAATTTCAATATTCTCCTCTGAAAAACGGATAGTAACAGTTTAATATTTATGTTATTGTAATGTTTAATGTTACTGTAAAAATTCAATAAGGTACATGTAAGTTATTTAGCACAGTGCACAGCAAAAAGCTGTGTACTCTACTACTGAATTCAGAAATGTAATACATTTATCTTAGAATGAGAGATATGGGTAATTCAGTTTAAATGCTTACAAGATGAAAGCCATTTTTTCCCATTCAAATAAATATTTAAAGTTTAATTATGTTTGGACTCCTAAGTTTACTGATGGTGGTAATCACATTCCTGAAAGGCAGATACTACGATTACACAGATGCATGGTTCCCAGCCTGGCTGGCCTCAGAATCACCTGAAGATTCAACAAACAAAAAAATTACCCACAGATTTTGGCCTTCATACTAGATCTCTCTGGGGGTAAAACTTAGGCCTCTACATTTATATAAATTCTACAGAAGATTCTGAATTTTATCAAAGTTTGAAAACCACCCTCCTAGATTATACTCAGATTTGGTAGCTAGAAGTTTTATCTTAAATCCCACTCTAGGTTCTAATAAGCTTCTTTGTCTTTACTGAATAACGTATTCAAAATGAACAAATATCACAACCAAACTGAGTGGTTCTAACAATTTTTTCTAGGATTTCTCGCAGGTGCCTAATCATGTTAGGCATCTGTGTGAATTTTAGCTGACCAAAGTGGAATGATACCCTAGTATCTTAAATGACGATTTTTTTAAAACAACAAAGTCACGTTTTATTCCAATTCTACTAAGACTCTAATGGGAACCCATTAGGACTCTCTAGGTTTGCTACCACGTGCAGTGATGAGCATAATTCTAAACTACCCACTTTCCTATGCTCAAGATTGTTGAAACAGAACATCTGTCACTTACCTGCGAACAGGCTGTGCAAGTTTGCTGCGAGGCACTGGTATACCCCCAGCAGAAGGGGCACTGGGTCTGGGCAAGCCACTTCTCATCGCGGTTGTCCCTGCAGGTCTGGTTAGAGTAGTGCTGTTGATATTGTTCGGAGGATTTGCTGGGACTGTGTTCTGAACCATGGGAGGCCCAGGTGAGGAGGTGGTCTGTGTGAGCTGTGTTGTTTCTTGGCTACCAGGAGAACCAGAGCCATGGTTACTAAATGCTTTTACTGGTTGCCGGAGAGCCAAAGGAGATGGTGCTGCAGGGGAGCGGAATTTGCCTGGAGAAGGTACTGCAGAATGGCAAAGAAAAATCAACGTTTTTAGTAGAAACTAAGTGTAAGTGAAACCAGTGCTTTATATTACACTTGATGACTAGGCCACCAGTACATCTGTATTCGCGAAAACTTGCTTTACAGAAATGCAAGGAATAAAGAATATTTCTGGCTAACAAAACAAAACAACTATAAGTCCTAAATAACCAAGTTCTTATTCAGAGGACTGAAACTATCCTTCATGACAAAACACAACTATGCCAGCTAGAAATCCACAATACCAGAAGAGAAAAGGCATTCAGGAATCTATGTCACTGTAGCAGCTAACCTGGGCCATATTCTAGAAATGGAATAATAGTTGACTACCACATGGTTGACTAGAATTTGAGACGTACTCTCCCTTCAAAAAACCATTCACGGAAACATGTATCAAGTATCTGGTGGCTGTACTTCAAAGTCCTATATCACCTACAGTGTAACTTAAGACTTGGAAATAAAACATTAAAAACAAAACAAAACAGCTTCTACTGTTGTGCTTCACCAAGTAGAGAAGTTATAAATCTAAGGGCATATCAAGATGTGTATGAAGGCACAGGATAAAGATGGTACATTCTTCTGGAATGTCAATTCTATAAGTTAAAACACTTTTAAGTTAAAACAAATACTGATACATGAAAGAATAAAACGTAAAATTCGCATTAAGTTTTAAGCCAAAATAGGACTACAAATAAATATTATTGTGGTTATTCCTTAACACTGTAAGTTCTGCTCTCCTAGGGGACACATTCATTGTTCCCTGTTTATTTGGTTTAGCTAAGTCACCTCTAAAAGGGCATCAATTTTAGTTTCTTCAAATGTCTGTGAATGGATACACAAAATGTAAATAAAAAAATATTACCTTGACCTGCTTATCTAACAAAGAATTTGGGAGGTGAAGAGAATGGGATGGGGAAGGAAAGAGGGAGAGCTGGATCAGAGGCAGAATCAGGTCACCCTATTCTCTCTCAACCTCTATTAGGTTGGGGAGGATATGAATGAAGGGAAAACCTTGGTCTTAAGACTGCAGAAATGGATTATTCCACAGACCTCCATCTTCCTCACTTCTACTAATCTGTCTAAATGGTAATAGGTAACAGTAAGGTCTGCCACAGTAGCGGGTAGGAAAGGAAAAAATGGATGGCCACTATTTTCTTCTGCTATCTGAGAGAAAAGAAGAGAGGATACACTTTAGCTTCAAAACTCCCGAACGGAAAATTCCTCTTACCATCCTTTCAATTATGCTTTTTATACATAGCCTCCTTCCTTCCCAACTGATCTTTCTTGCCTTCTGTTTAACTGAAGTCCCAAATGTCAGCATCTCTGTACTTAAGATATGTTAGGTCCCAGTACTTGACAGGCTCAAATGATCTCTGCTTGGCTCCAAAAACATTAGAGCCATGATTCTCAAACTTAACTGTGCATCAGAATCACAAGGCGCTTTTTAAAAAAGAATATAGAAACCCCGGCATCACCTCCAGAAACTCTAGTCTAGAATGAAACTCAGATATTTATATTAAAATCACCACAAGAGCTTCAAGCCATGATGGCAAAACTGGGAAGGGGGTTACCTTCCTACTTGTAAACACCTGTACAACTGGACAAAATATACAAAACAGTTTTCAAATATTGGACAACAGGCAGTATAGAACTATAATTCCAGAGAAAAGGAAAATAAATGTAGTGAGCCCTGTGAGCACACTGGCTTTTTTGGGGGGAAGGAGATGCTTTTTGGAATGTAGAGCAAGGAGGATCCCAAGCAGATCAAAGTTATCTTGCTGAGCTGAGAAGACAAAAGTTGGAATTTGAGGAGCAGAGTACCTTAGAAGAGGGAGCTGCTCCAGAAGACCTCCATAACTCAGCTGAGGAGTCTGCTTGAATCCTTGGCTAAATACTGTGCTACGCATATACCAAGTGAAGTTCCATGAGACGGAGCAAAAGAAGACTGAAATGCTGTAAACTGAATAAAGCCTATGACTTGAAAATAAACTATAATAAGTTAAATTTGCAAAAAAAAAAAAGTGATATATGAAAAATAAGCCAACAATAAAAATAAAATGTAATGTTAAAAGGCACTCAGCTATTCCAGAACAATAAAAGGCGGGGGGCGGAGGGGACAAGGATCTGAATGGGCAGAGAGAAAACAAACTGAGAGATGGTAGATTTTAAACCAACTATATTGATAACTGTATTAACTATGAATAGCAATCACACCAATGAAAAGGTAATGATTGCTGGTACCCACAAAAGAGAAAGAGCTCCATGCTATCTAAAAGAAACACATTTTAGAGAGGACTTTCCAAGATAGTGGAGGAGTAGGAGACCTTAGTTTTGTCTGGTCCCGGTAATTCAGCTAGAGAGCTACCAAATCATTTTGAACACCTGTGAACTCAACCGAAGATGTAAGAAAAGAATTGCTGCAATTTTACAAATAGAAAAGTGACCACTTTCTGCAAGAATGACAAGACGGAAAAACTCACCTCAAAAATGAGAACAAGAGGCAGTACTAACTACCAGGGACCTAATCAGTATGGATATAGGTAAGATGTCAGAAACAGAGTTCAGGGGGCACCTGGGTGGCTCAGTCATTAAGCGTCTGCCTTTGGCTCAGGTCATGATCCCAGGGTCCTGGGATCGAGGCCCACATCGGGCCCCCTGCTCCGCGGGAAGCCTGCTTCTCCCTCTCCCACTCCCCCTGCTTGTGTTCCCTCTCTCGCTGTGTCTCTGTCAGATAAATAAAATCTTAAAAAAAAAAAAAAGAAACAGAGTTCAGAATAACGATTATAAAGATACTAGCTGGGCTTGAAAAAAAGCACAGAAGACACTAGAGAATCCCTTTGTGGAGAAATAAAAGAACTAAAATCTAATCAAGTCTAGGAGGCCCTAACTGCTAGGCTCAATGAGGCAGAAGAGAGAATTAGTGATAGAGAAGACAAAATGATGGAATAAAGAAGTAGAGAAAAAGAGAGATAAACAACTACTGGATCATGAGGGGAGAATTCAAGAGATAAGCGATATCATAAAGCAAAACATTATTAGAATAATTGGAGATCCCAGAAAAAGAGGAAAGAGAGGGGCAGAAGGTATACTGGAGCAAATTATAGCACAGAACTTTCCTAACGTGGGGAAGGAAATAGGCATCATGTCAAGGAGGCACAGAGAACCCCTCAAAAATCAATAAAAATAGGGCAGCAGCCCAACATATAATAGTGAAACTTGCAAATCTCAGAGACAAAGAAAATCCTGAAAGCAGCCTGGGACAAGAGGTCTGTAACCTACAAGGGTAGAAACATAAGATTGGCAACAGACCTATCCACAGAGACCTGGCAGGCCAGAAAGGACTGGCATGATATATTCAGGGTGCTAAAAGAGAAAAATATGCAGCCAAGAATACTTTATCCAGCTAGGATGTCATTCAAAATAGGAGTGATAAAAAGCTTCCAGGACAAACAGAAACTAAAAGAATTTGTGATCACCAAACCAGCCCTACAAGAAATATTAAAAGGGATCCTTTAAGCGAAGAGAGAGCCCTAAAGTAACATAGACCAGAAAGGAACAGAGACAATATACAGAAACAGTCACTTTACAGGTAATATAATGGCACTAAATTCTGATCTTTCAATAGTTAACTCTGAATGTAAATGGGCTAAATGACCCAATCAAAAGACACAGGGTATCAGATTGGATAAAAAAGACTCATCGATATGCTGTCTGCAAGAGACTCATTTCAGACCCAAAGACACCTCCAGACTGAAAGTAAGTGGGGTGGAAAACCATTTATCATGCTAACAGACATCAAAAGAAAGCTGGGGGAGCAATCCTTATATCAGACAAATTAGATTTTAAACAAAAGACTGTAATAAGAGATGAGGAAGGACACTCTATCTTACTTAAAGGGTCTATCCAACAAGATCTAACAACTGTAAATATTTATGCCCCTAACATGGGAGCAGCCAATTATATAAACCAATTAACAACAAGATTTAAGAAACACATCAATAATAATATAATAATGGTAGTGGACTTTGACACCCCACTCACTGCATGGACAGATCATCTAAGCAGATCAACAAGGAAACAGGGCTTTGAATGACACACTGACCAGATGGACTTCACAAATATATTCAGAGCATTCCATCCTAAAGCAACAGAATACACATTCTTCTTGAGCACACATGGAACATTCTCCAGAACTGACCACATACTCAGTCACAAAGCAGGTCTCAACTGGTACCAAAAGACTGGCATCATTCCCTGCATATTTTCAGACAACAATGCTTTGAAAGTGAAACTCAATCACAAGAGGAAATTTGGAAAGAACTCAAATACATGGAGGCTAAAGAGCATCCTACTAAAGAATGAATGGGTCAACAAAATTGAAGAATTAAATTCATGGAAACAAATGAAAATACAACTGTTCAAAACTTTTGGGATGCAGCAAAGGTGGTACTAAGAGGGAAGTATATAGCAACACAAGCCTTTCTCAAGAAACAAGAAAGGTCTCAAATACACAGCCTAATCTTACACCTAAAGGAGCTGAGAAAGAACATCAAATAAAGCCTAAACCCATCAGGAGAAGAGAATAAAGATTAGACCAGAAATCAATGAAACAGAATCCAAAAGAACAGTAAACAGATGAATGAAACTAGGAGCTGGTTCTTTGAAAGAATTAGTAAGGTGGATAAACCTCCAGCCAGACTTACCAAAAAGAAAAGAGAAAGGACAAATAAATAAAATCATGAATGAAAGAGGAGAGATCACAACCAACACCGAAGAAATATAAGAACATTTTATGAGCAACTATACACCAACAAATTAGGCAATCTGTAAGAATTGGATGCACTCCTAGAGATGTATAAACTACCAAAACTGAAACAGGAAGAAACAGAAAACCTGAACAGACCCATAACCAGCAAGGAGATTGAAGCAGTAATCAAAAATCTCCCAACAAACAAGAGTCCAGGGACAGATGGCTTCCCAGG